TGTTAAAAATTTTCCTTTTATGGTAATTTTAAGCAAGAAAAATGTTTTACACTTTTTATCACAAGTGAGCTTCAATTCAAGAACTCAAGAACTTTTAAGACAACTAATGCAATAGGATGGGACCTCTGGTCGAAGTTTATTCAAGTTTGGGAATCTTGCTTATTTTTCGGTTACATGAGAAAAGGCTCATGGCAGTTCTCTTTTCTTCAGTTCTCTTGCATCTCTCCTTACTCTTATTATATCATAAAAACCATCTACATTATTACTATCATACTCGCTAAATCATACATTTTTCAAATACACACTTAAACAGAATTAATAGATCTACTGTTTGTTTCAAGTCAACCCTTATACACAATATTTTTACAGTAATATTTGCTGTGCTATCTTAAAAGTTCAAAAATTTTCAAAACAAAAAACTGAAATTAGTTTATCTCTTCAGATAATCAGTACCCTCCAATTATCCAATCAGATTTTATGTAAAAATCAAAACAAAAACCATACCAGCTCAAACTAGTTTTGTATCATAACAATAACTTTAACAACAAATAATATCATGTATACTCTATTATCTATGGTAACCGAAGAGCTGAAGAAATGGGACAAAGAGCTTGTTTAGGGGTTTTCTTGAAGAAATAATTGGTTTTCTACTTATAGATCTTATAGTTTACTTGACGAAGTTTTAGTTTTAGTTAGTTTTAATTTTTTTTTCTCAATTTCTTTTATTCAAAAAAAAAATTTTTATTAAAAAACTTTTTGAGTAGGTAGGTATAGCCACTACTCCCATATTTGACATTTTAATATTGCTTTTGGAATTTTTTATGATATTAGTTAAATATGGTACAAGTAAGCAAGCTAGTATTTAATTTGTTGTATGCAATACATCCAAAAGATGTTGTTTCTTTCATAATGTATACCTTGATATATACAAATTAAATAAAGAGATAATGTTTACCTACTGGGATAACCTCTTCAAAAAAACAATAAATTATTATTATTTTTATTATTTTTATTATTTTTATTATTTTTAGTTAAATGGCATTAGATGCAAATTTTATTGATAATATATTATTTATCCATTATATCAAATATCTATTATAATACATGATTATAATTAAATATTAATCTATTAACTTTACTTATTTGATATTCAAAAATCCATTACTTAATAACTTTTTCTTGTAATACCAGAGTACTATAGGGGTAGAAATTCTATTACTGGTTTTAAACCATCTAACCTATAGAACTTAGTTATAGTCTTATACATATACTATTAATTATCTAAGTATAAGTTACCTATCACATTACATCTTTTTGTTTACACAGTATATGCAGTAGTAAGGATCCTTGATACAAGTATGTATTTTTTAGTAAATGCTCCAGTTTTGATTATTGGTTGATTACAATACTTTCAAATCTAAGGGCCATAAAAAATAAATTATCTATTTTACTGTTGAAATATTAACTTCTTCAAAATGAGGTTTAAAAAAAAGTGTACCATTTATATATTGAATAAATTATATGTCACTTTATAGTCAAATATAAAAGTTATATAAATTTGATTAATTGTCAAATTATATATTTTTTTGATGAATAATTGACAAGTAATATTATGCCAAATAAATTAATTTTGACTAGTGCTTTTAGCATGGATTATTGTTGAAATCTCAGATATCAATCTTATTTTTGAAATCTCTACTGCTCTAAATTGGTTCTCCAGTCTATATTTTCTTTCCAAAAGATATATTCTACTAGATAAAGTTCTTTGGAAGAAAGAAATTTTTTAAAAAAACAATTTTCTATAAATGGAGATATTGTAAAAAAAGTTTTTTATTTTTTAATAATTATTTCTTTAAATATTATTAATTAATAATAGATATATATACAGTGATACCTTAAATTAGGAATTTTTTTTAATATATATAACCCAGTAAAAACTTATTTAAATTAAACAAAAATATAAATATAAATATATGAATATTATAAAATTACTTTCACTTATAACTAATTTATAGATTATATTATTATTATTATTTTAAATAATTAAAAATTTTATATTATATATTAATTTTATAACTTGATTTTTATAAAATTCAAGTTTTTTAATATAATTTTATATGTTTTTTTATAATAAATAATATAAAATTAATATATTTTTTAAAATATGACATTAGGAAAAAAAAAGTAATATTTAAATAATATTGATAATTAATATAAAAATATTTTAATTAAAATTATTTATTAATACTAAAAGATTTATATCGAATTTTTTTATATTTTTTAAATCAATATTTATTAAATAATAATATAATTTTTAATTTTTTAAAAAATTTTAGATACCATTGTATATATTCTTGATAGATTAATATTAGATAGTTAAAAAAAATCTTATATAATATTGATATATTTTAAATTAAGATTTTAAACTAATATCAAAATAATATTAAAATAATATCAACTTATAATAAATTTAATATTAAATGAATATCAAAATAATATTATTAAAAATCATATTTTTGATTTATCTTGTTATATACAATAATTTTATTTTTTATAAACAAAATGAAATAAAAAAAAAAAAATTTTTTTTTAAGAAAATAAAATAAAATTATTAATTGTTAATATTATTAAACATTGTATTTTTTTATTATTAGATATTATTTTTGATTTTCTTAAATTCATATATATTTTTTAAATTTTAAACAATACAAATCAATTATTTTATATAAAAAAATCAATTATAATTTATCAATTCAAATAATATAATTTGAATTAATATATAATATAATATTATTTGAATTAAAAGATAGTTTTTATATTGTAATAAAATCATAATATTGTATTATAATTACAATACATTAATTATATTATAATTATAACTATATTGTTGATATCAAAATTATAATGTTATTATATAATAATAAAAAATTTTTTTTAATTTAATTTAATAATTTATATTATATACAGTATATAATTTGTAATCTATAAATTAAATATAAAACGTTGAATAAAACATAATATACTAAATATTTTTTATTTAAAAATAAAAAAAATAATAATAATAAAGCTATTATTTTTTTTATATAATTTTTTCTTGTATTGAAATAAAAGGTAAAAATTTTATTTTTGTTTTTTTTCTATTAAGAAACTTGATGGAATTATAAATACCATACAATAACTTTTAATTTCTGATGAATAAAATTTTTGCATATAGTAGATATAGTATAATTTTAGAAATACCTTTTTATTTACATATTTTAATTACGTATTTTAACTCATTTATTTATTGTTTACAGCATGTGATCTTCTGATGCATACATAAACATCGAGATGAAAATTTCATTGTCGCAATGTCACAAAGTATTGGAGCAAACTGTAACGAGCTGAAAAAAGAATATGACACTTGTTTCAACAAGTGGTACTCCGAAAAGTTTCTTAAGGGAGACGTGCGGCCCGAGTGCGAAGAGCTATTTCAGAAATACCGAGATTGCGTTCTGGTAAAGGATACATAAATCAGTTGAAAAATTTTTTACAAGTTCAAAAAAACGTCTAATATGATATAATGTACAAAAAGAATGCAATTAAACAGAAGAAAATTGACAAATTGTTGGTTGAGGCACGGAAGGAAGATCCTTTTTCTTCAGTGACCGAAAAGAAATGATAAAAAAAAGAGGGGACAAAGGGTGGTGACTGGGTGACCAGAAGAGAAACTTCTTTGTGCCGCGAGGTATTTATTTTATTTCATGAAATACCGCATCATCATCCATGACCGGCATGAAAGGCTTTCACATTTGTGTACCATATAGATTTTGAAATTCTAGTTTTGGATCGAACAATAATTAACGCTCAATAAACAAATTTTGGTGGCATGATCTCAATCGAATCATTCCTCATTCCACTTTGTCCTAATTTTTCTTATGATTGATTGTCAGGACTTTTGTATTTTCATAATTCGTTTCCCCTACGGCTACCCGAATTTTTCTTCAATTTTATCATTTTCTCCGTCAAAGACATTGCTTCCATTTCCATTCTCTCCTCTCTTTACTGTCCAATCATCCTCGTTCACCAAATCTATTACAACACCTTCTTTTTCGTATTCCCGTGTTTCTTCACCTTTAGTGTCAAGAGTCCTTTTCTCATGTAACCACTTTAACAGATAGTATAATAACACGATGATAGAATCAAGTATGAATACGGATATATAACATACTGAAGCCAGCGTGTCAAACGGAGGCGGCCTGAAGGCTAGATTGGAAAATCGGTGACGGGTTAAAACGATAAATTACTATCTAGATGAAGGGTTGTCGAATTTTTGGAAAATTTATCCTACCCAAACTGATCGTGGAAAAAATCGCGCCAAGTATGTCGATTGTCATGAACAATAGTGAAATTCCACATACTAATCCTTTGCCTGTAATTATATATTTTTTTTCTTTCGAACGAAATGTACGCGTAGTCTTAAAGGAACGAAACAACAAGCAACGTGACTTACGATAAATTTCGTAGTATTGTGGTATAAACCCGGTGATTATAAATACTACCGGGATAATTCCACAGAGTGTTTCTGGCCATCTTATATCTCGATCACTTGCCGCCTAAGGATGTTTTTTGCACAACGTGAATCGCGATCGATTAGACATCACGTACAAAAAGAATGATTGGAATCCTACTTTAATCCCATAGATAACAGTCGTTTGAACGACAGCCGAAATTAGTACGATGGTAAGGAACATAAACCCACTTTTCGCTTTTCTTCCAACAAATTTTGGATGTTCATAGTACAGACATTGTGTGAAACAAATTAAACATATTGCGCCAAAGAGCTGTGGTTGAATCATCAGAGGGATGGAAAGTTCAATGATTATAGCGTAGATTCCATAGGATATTCCTGAAAATGTCTGAAATATTATTTAATGACATAAACGTTGGCGTAATGTGAAACGAGTGTTTAACGTTTTACCCATAACAACATCATGACTGCCGATAGACCTTTGCGATAAAAAATAAAGTAAGGACACACGATCACGTGATATTCACGTTATAACGCGACGCACGGCATACGCACCCCTGGTCGATTTACTGCGCCAATTCTTGTACACTACGGATAAAAGAAATTTTTTATGGTAAAATGAGTCACAAGCCGTGAAACATTACATGCCGCCGTGAAATTAACGGGAAATAGGTAGAGATGCATGCATACTTTACCTTGAGGCACCAGTTGAAACGACCAGAATACGGTTCCTATAAGTCCAAATACATTTTCCAAGATAACAAAATATCCCGGGATGTCGGTGTGGTCGACATTTCCAGTCTGATTGTGCGTAGCGAATGCAAATGTGACACTGCCGTTCATAGATGCGTTTGTGGATGGATAATGAAATGAAGGTAACAAAGGGACATTTTTATAGAAAACGTTACATGCAATTCGTGACAAAATCGGTTTTTGACCAACAAAAAAAGTGAATATCATAAGCTCTCAAGCGGAGATCGTAGACGGTGATTTGCGCTGATTGGTGATCATATAAATGGAAGTTGGGCGATCTGTGTAGAATACGAATAATGAATGAAGGAAGGATGGATGGATGGATGGAAGAGGATGTGGAAATGATAACAGAAAATAAACGGACATCACCGAATCAATGATAATATCATTTCTGTTTGCAAAACATAAAAGGTTTTAGCGAAATCTCACGGAAGAGATTTTTGGCTGTAATAAATTGACATGTATTGAAGGCAGACGCATTGTAAGTTTTATTTGTGTAATGGCCAAAAATGTGTGTTAACGGCCACAACAATGGCAATGGAAGAAACAAAATCTCCGCACAATTCTCGATATGACGCATGCATACGTATCGACCCAACTCTCGGCAGATCAGGTGCATTGATTTGGTTATATTAATCACCATAATCGGGTAAATTAAATCACAACCACAACAGCTTTTCAATAGAATTGGTAATACATATTAAAGATTAGTTCTTTTTTTAGTAAACATTCATTCTTGTTATCAATTTCTTCCTCCCTCCTCTCTTGTTCTTTTGTGTGAGTTAATAGTTACAGGATGCAAATTAACCAAAACAATAATTTTCTTTCATAATTTAAAAATAACAAATAATAATAAAACATGCATAAATAAATTATCGATCAATTATTAACCATCAAAATATAATTTTCACACTAGTTACAACAATCATTTGCAATGCATATTCCCCCCATAACAAATTATCATTATTATCTTTTTTTTTTTTTTTGGTTGATTATTTTTTGGGGGGCGAAAAAATAAAATGGTGTATCCTCGAGTAACAAATATTTGCCAAGACATTTCTCGTTAATTTCACGAGAACATCACACGCCACTAATTATCATTGTGATAATGGAAAGTGATGGAATTTTTCTTTTTATGACATAGATAATTTTAAAATGGATATATTCATTTCATTTATGTTTTTAAGATATGCATCAATCGAGTGGGCATCAATGAATCGCGTATTGGGCATCACGATTTCGTAAAAAAAAGAACAAAAAGAAAATTCCTGCATTCCAAAGAAGTCAACCGGGACTTGATAATCCCGGATGTCATAACCAAACGCTAATTTGGTAATTTGACCATCTCTCGATCAACACAACAAATGTAGCCGATTACGGAAAACCCGTAATAACGTTGATCCTAATACATGCCGGTGATTCTCCTGAGTGGACAATTCATTAGATCAAAACTTAATCTGCTCGATTTTGCATAACGTATCGCACAAACTCCTCTGATTGCTGGGATGAACGTAACCCCGATTGTCTGGTGTGGTGTAATGGAAAGGGATTGTCGAGGTCGTAACCAAGTGCATAGTTTATTTGAAATCAAAATATTTTAAAGGTGCAGAGGGGAAATTATGATTAAATTTAATTAATCAATTAATTAATTAATTCATTGTTTTGCATGCATTGTTAAACTCTAATAACATAATCAGTGACAATTGGACGCACGCAATTGGGATAAGAGTGAGTTATCACACAACCCGAATTTTAGAAGAGCATTTCTAGAATCCGGATTGGTAAATACATCATGTGAGTGCATGAACAAGCAGGTTGTGTAGCAGATCATTCTTTTTTTTGATCACTGTTTGTTTACCTGCTCTGTCGTGCGTGCATCACACAGTAATCACAATTAGAAATTTAATCAAACGCACAAGTTATTTAATAAGTAATCCAGTTACACGCCCACGTTTTATGTTCATCACTATTGTGTCTCTTTCATATATCGCACGTGACATCCTTCCGTCGACCGTCTGATCTAACCCAAGATCTAAGAATGCCTTTTGTTTTTCGAACTTATGCATTTACAGAATGGCAAAGAATCATCCGCCTTTGGGCGTACCGTAGTGCAGCAGCTTGCCCAAATTAACGGACGAGCCTATGCTAATTTGGTGCAGTTCACCTAACGCAACCCCCCACACCACAAATTGGTATGCATCACAATACGTACTATGCTGACTTGACAATACTAATTACGGCCATGCACGTTATAGCAAACATTAATTTATCGTGATGTGGTAATTGCCTATGACTTTCCTAGGAAAATTGATTTTTTGTTTGTACCTGTTTATATTAACTTTGGACGAGCAATTTATTCTTTTATGTATCTCCATTGATGTCAACCTTGACACGACCAAATAAAATTCGGTTTCTTAAGTTTATGTAATTTCATGCACCACGTATCTCATACATACCAAATAATCATGCTGCAACATTGAGTTGTCATTTATTCTCTGCATTTCGCTATTTACACTCATTCCAAAAAAACTGTTGTGTGATACTAACAATCAACGGAGTACCGTTAAAGTATGGATCGGGTATTTTTTTATTCAGATCCTCAATTTTCCAAATTTATGTCACAGAGGCTTAGTCAATGAACTTCCAAATCGAATCGATTTCAAGTGCTTTAGGAAATTTGAATTTGAAAGAAGCCATTGGCCAACATTTTTTTCCTTAATATATTGGATATTCATTCGGCTCACAAAGAGTACACCGTGTGTCATCTTTGTTTACGATGAGAAAATTACATACCGTATATTACTACTGTATTAAAAAAAAGCAACAACGGATTTAATCTCCTCAAAAAAAAGTTTCTTGTAACTTATTGACTGCATGGATTTTCTGGTGATGGTGTTTGAACACTGCCAGTTTAGTTACATATATTTACATTGTGTACACCGTGTTTTATATACCGTACATACCGTCTGTACTCTCTGCTCGGGATGATGATAGTCGGGTGACGTCTGAGAATTTAGAGTTTTAGAGTTGAAGCGCATATTTCAAAAGATTTGCCGGGTAATATTTGGCCGGCTTGATTAAATAATCGCCTGGATTAATTAAAAATGTAGTTGCCGCCTACGATTGACTAATGACCATGACAAAAGGAATCCATATTATGAAAAATTAAATAAACAAACAAGTAATTAATCTTCACCGTAGGTACAATTGATGCAGGTAATGAGCGATTGTTTATAATCACACACACACACACATTCTTTAATCGAATCTTTTTCGTCGATGAACCACCGCTCAGGTAAAGAGCATCGAATTCTGACATCTTGCATTCATCACGCGCTCGCCCGCTTGTCACTGTGTTCATGCTCACGTGATATTTAACTCGACGGTTGTGGTCCACGGGGTTTACGCACCAGGCTTCTCGGGTGGTTCTCCCATCGGTTGATTTTGAATGTTCCCTCAGGTATCGACATATCGAAGAGTTAGGTGCACCGGTCCTCTCTTCATGTACCCAAGCTCGATCGAACGTGTGAAATCAATTCGTCGCCATCCCATTCAAAATACTGCGATTCTCACGATCCCCCGAGCCCGATTGATCTCAATTACCATAAAGAAGACGAAAAAAGCGCCCGAACCTCGCTTCGGTCCACCATGCCATCATCCATCAAAGGCTTCCCTTCTATTACACGTGATGCGATAATATCACGTGAATCAAAGCGTGCGTGTTTCCGTGAGTGTATTCAACGTTGAACATTAACAAATACTTAACGAATTTAAAGTGAGATGTGCTCTGTCAAAGAAGATGCACGCCCAATGCAGAGGTTCGATGCCTGTCGTCTGTAAATTTTGTCCGACAAACACAACAGTAAAGACTCTGGATTTATCTTTCTCAAATTAACAGTGGGCTTGGCAGGACTCATACATTATTACTTCATTGGGAATTAAATATACCGCAATTTCATAATGCATTCTCAATTACCTCATCACCTTCCATTTCCAAATAAAACATCAGAGATTTGTTCGACTTTTTTTTACGGCAAACCCGTGCCTCATATCCTAAAAGAATGTGGTGTCTAACCGGATTTGTCCTTATCTGATAGCGGAAAAAAATTTTGGTTGTTATTTATAAACGATTCTTTTTTTGATAACAGTATTGTATATTTGTTTTTCTCTGTAACATATCTTGTACTCGCGACACAATTTTAATTTGGATGTCCGAGATCCGATCAGGTCTCCGGGATCCGAATGATTCGACCGGATGTCCTCATGTGGGTCGTGCTTTGAAGACCGAATGAAGAGGAGCGTCAGCCGGGTATCCAAATTGTGGAAAACACGGTTCCCGGCTTCTCCCCCTCAGGATCGCGATCAGTTTGAGATCAGGATCGCAGCATCCCACAACCTCCCAACGTCTCTTACCAAAAAAGTCTTCCGTGTTACCCAATCTGATGCCAGGCGTATCGCTGTGCGTGGAATTCCCAAATCACACACACACACACACGCCTTTCTTTTCCTTTTTGAATCCAAGCTTTTCATCGATAGGCACTTTGAAAGATTACACTTATTTGGCTATCGGTGTACCTACGTACGTAATTGGGATGTGGGAATTTTCCACTGATTATAAGAACCCAAATTTCCTCTTGGGGAATGGGGCAGTGATTTCTTAGATAATCACGGCTATGCAACATAATAAAAAAATCTGATTATGTACCTACCTATTTAAACAAACAGATAATCAGCTTCCTATAGTGCATATATAAACGATGTAAATAGTAATCGTTCGCCAAATGTCAATTCAACCATCCGACCCACATGACGCCAGTTTGATTGGCCGTTAGCACTTCGCGAATTGCGCAAAATTGTGCTGCAGTCGTGCAGACATTTTGCAAAACATTATGAGCATTATAGTAGTGCACAAAACGAAATTCCTAAATGGTCCAATATTTCCAAAAGAATGTGTGGAAGTCTGGAATTCCTTTGAAAATTTGACGATGACATCATGAGCGCCAGGGAGGGAATTTGTATTTGTATTTTGCGTTTTATCCGTTGTTGGAAAAAATGAATTATTATTATGCCGAAACCATTGCCCCTTCGCACAAGCATTCGACCTCCACCACTCCTGGTTTTGCGTGATGGACGTTTTAATCAGAAAGTATAATTTTGGTTATTCGCAAAATATCTCTCACATGCGTATTCGATTGCCTCAAAAGGAAATCGTCGATTTTGTGATTCGAATTCAAGTGTGTTCGCCCATTTTTTTTTTTTTCGAGCATTTGGTTTGATCGCTTGCATGGAATCCGGAGGCGAGGATGGCTGACGACGCGACGTTTCTCACCCAAAACCATCGGGCTGTGGTGAAACCTCAGCATCTTCGAGCACAAGGATCCGTCACACTCTCACTGATTCGTCGCGAGATACTCGAGAAGGATGCGACCGGCGAATCCTTGGCGACGTGAGACCTTTTGAAACGGGGGAAAGATGTGATGTAAGTATGATGTACCGGTAAGCTCTGGCCAAAATGTATAGGATCTCTTATTTAATATTGATTCCAATTTATCTGACTTATTTGTTTATCAAGCATGCACAATGAAATCACCTTGCATCGCCACATACATTCTTTCATCACCAAAAAAAAAAAAATTTTTTTTTATATTAACAAGTTCTTCGTCGAATTGACAGACATCACGTAAGGTCATTCGTTCGTTCGTTTGTCTGTCCCCGTCGTGAAAAACCACAAGGGAGGTAAGTAGGTAAGATGGCAATTTGATAATCACCATCACATACCCCCATTCTTCGGGCATCAACGAATTGATCGGTTGAAAATTATCTCACTCAATTTTACTTTTGGTGAACAAGTATTCGCGTGCTCACGGACGAATTCGTTTCACATCAGGGTTCCCCGTAAAAGGGAAGTTAGCGGGAACAATTGGGAAACACAGATAAATTAAAGGTAACGGACAATGATATAATAAAGGGGGGTTGCTTTCTGTACTCTCGATTATTCACTACTCAGTATCCTCTCTCAATTATCACACAATTACATAATACTGTATATATCAGATGTAGTACTAGAAAAAATATATAAATACAAACAGATTGATCGCTCCCTGATCCTCGCGATCAATTTTCTCCTAAACCTCCTGGTAACTAACTATAACAATCTTTCAATGATTCACATCTCACACCTTTTCGACAATAACAAGAATGCTACAACCGTCAATCGTCTAACTAACGATGTAGGTCCAGAAGTTTGTTTTTTCTTCTTTTTTCTAAAAAAAAAGTCGCAGTGAAAAAATTTTTTTTCTTTTTTTCATTCAAAAAATCGCCTGGTCTTTTAATTCTTCGTTTGGGTTTACAAACCAATTGTTTTTCATGATAGTGTCAATCTCAACACGAAATGGAGGTGCAAAATACAGCCCACTTCTACCAATTCCAACAGGTAGGAACGTTCTAGAAATCTCGCTTTGACAACGATAAATCATAATCACGTTTTGACTAGTTTGTTTTTTCCTTTTGCTCACCCGATTCACGCAGATACCTGATACCTTCCAGAATGATTTGGTAGGACAGCTTGATGTCATTTTAAGTACACCATGCCGTATTCTTCTCATTTTTCACATAGTTCTTTTCGTCTGTCTTTCGAATCTAGTCGCTTGAATGCTTAGGTGTTCAGGATCTTAATCTGTCAGTTCCACAACTTTCGACGGGTGATGTAGGGCAAAATATGTTCGCCACAAATTTTTGTACGGTAGGTTGTGTGAGCTCTAATCGTTTCTCTGACTTAAATGGAAATTTTTGATCACCAAAAAAAATTTTTTTTTTTTTTTTTTGTTTTCACAACAAACAGATTGACGTCGCAACCCCTCACAATGTCAATCAGGAAGGTTCACAGGTGAGCATCGGCCTTTCTCATGTAATTCAATCCTCCGCTTTATTAAATGAGTTGACACACATTAGCGCCATCACCTTCACAAGTCTTTCCTTCTTTCCTTCTCTGTTCAAGAAGAGACCCTAATAACCAAACCATTCCCCAATCAAATCAATCCCATTTTAGTCCCAGTCGTCTCCACCGAATCATCATGCTTACATGTTTTACAACAACACCCTGTCCCAAGAGCGAGCCACGCTGGTTCCCGGACCAAAGATGGAGCGCAATTCATCGCAAAATACTTCACTAGCACCTACCGCTGATCACAATAATAATCACCATCACATTGGTGATGTTAAGGTGGAACGGGTAATGGTTGTTTCATATGCATATATATTTATTCTTTATTATTTTGAAAATGTTTACACAATAATATCTTGCATAAAATTATCTTATCATAATATAATAAATAACATAATTATTATTGCCATAATTGTCATTAAAAAAAAAAAAGGCACTGGAATCCGGTGACTCGACCAAACATACGGCTAAAACATCTCCCCCTTCATCCACTCAGACAGCCCTGTCCAACCTGGTAAATCAGAAACCACCGGTCTACACCAAATGGACTGAAAAGGAAGATGAATTATTGCGCGCAGCGGTGAGCATCTACGGGCCGCATAAGTGGTCACTAGTAGCAACCAATGTCCCGAATAGAACACCGATGCAATGCTCGGCACGCTGGGTAGGCGCCCTGAATCCCTCCATCCTTAAAGGTCGTTGGACCGCCCAAGAAGATTCCGCTCTCACCGAAGCGGTTCAGCAATATATCAATGCCGTCGACTCACAAAACAACCCCCAGCCAATTCCATGGAACAAAATTTCGAAACGCATCCCTCAAAGAACCGGAGCTCAGTGTCAAGCTCGATGGACCGAGGCGTTGGACCCACGTATCAAGAAAGGCAAATGGTCACCCAAAGAAGATGAAATTCTAAAGGAGGGCGTTAGTACATACGGACGCTGTTGGATTCGTATCGCGGAGATGATTGACGGCAGGACCCAGGTGATTGAACGAATATGAATTGCGCATGTTCTCTCTCTCGGTGACATTGGCTGACCCTTTGCGATTCATTCTTGTAAAACGAAAACAGAGGCAATGCCGTACCCGTTGGCTGCAAATTAAAAATAAACAGTCAAAAATCAAGAACGAAACCATCATCGTGACATCAACCACAACCACACCCGTGAAAAACAATAACAGTAACAACAACAACAACAACAGCAGCAGCAGTAACAGAAACAACGTTTCCATGTTGAAAACACCGCCGAACACCACGCCATCTACGCCCGCGCAAGTTACAAAGAATTTTTCACCGACACCTCCTTTTGTGCAATCATCCTCACAAATTGTTTCTCCGTTTGGATCGATGAACGTATCAGCACCTTCGCATCTACCAGCAGATACCTCCGATTTTGGCAACATCTCGGCAATCATCGCAAGACAAAATTCAACATCACCGGAGATCCACCAGAGTCCCGTTTTTTCGGGTCCGATGACTCCTGCCGCGAGTCCCGGCAACATGACAGCATTAACAAACTTTTTTTCAAACAGCGAAAACTCGAGTTATGCAGAAATGCAACCGGTAATATTTCAATCTCCAACTCCCAATCCTCTGTGCTTTTACGACAGCGCATCATATCCCTTTGAGCAATTACAAATCAACCAACTTACTTACATGTAAAACCGAAAAAAAAAAAAAAAATCTTCGTGTCGTCTAAACGGAGAAAGAGAGAAATGAAAAGAAAACCCCATTATTATTTTATCCCGAACTCGTCACACCAACACACTTTTCTAAGATTCGCACTTTTAACTTTCTAAGCTTACTTACCATATGTATACGTATATATATATTAAGCATATTTCTTATGATCAACCAAACGTACATGTCCCGCGGGGACTGGGAGGGAAGAAGGGAATCCCTCTCAGGGCTGTATTTATATTGAAAAACCAATTCGATTCTTCTCAAGGACCAAAAAGAAAAAAATAAAAATCATACGATTTCGATTTCGAATAAAAATTTTTTAATATTTCTTTATTAAGTAGCGCGCGTTGGTGTAAAGATTAACGTGTGTGTGTGTGTGTGTGTGTGTGTGTGGATGTTTACGTATCGCATCGGCCATTACTACTTTCACCATCGTCGTCAATAAGAATTGGAAAACACGCTTGCATGCGCTTTACTTTGACCAACGAAAAACATTTGTGATGAATTCATTAACTTAATAAGAGATGCCGTGATAGGACACGAAAATAAAAGACGTGCTTTGAAATCATACATCTTTTTTTAAAAGAAAGTTGCATTCTAAAAAAAAAAAAGTACTTTATAATGTATATTTATTTATTATTTTTTTTTATGATCTGAAATTTGTTTGCCCGCTAAGGCACAGAAGGTGGCGATTTCGTTACGTCAAGCAACGTTGGAATATATAAAGGCGGGATCGGAATTCCCCTCAAAAAGAAATGGCATTGCCACGTTGATCGCACGGCATGATTGTTTATAGAAAACATTGAATGCGATGTCAGTCTTAAAACGGAACAAACACGTCGCGAAACAAACAATGCATTCTAATTTTAAAAACAAGAAGGGTTTTTTTATTTTTTTAAACTTCTTTCTCCTTGTTTCAGATCTTCTGAGATCGTGTTTGAAAGTCGTTCTCTTCTGTTTTTTTGACGAAATTGTCAAACAATAGCATTTCACGATTCGCCGATTTCCCTTGTTTCCGGCGATCACGAGAAGAAATGATCGTCTCTCAGAAATATGGATATTTCCTTGTATGTCTGTTCAACATCAACCATCCACCCTAGGGACGATGCTCCCCAACCAAGAGACGGTCCGGTTCTCTCTCAGTTTAAATCTGAGTGGTTTAGCGTGCAGGTAAACACCGAACATCTTGTATACGCATGTGCAAACGATGAGAGAAGTAAAAAATGAGATGTACCACCTAATAATAATCCCTGTGCACATGTCGAATAAGGTTTCTTGCAAAGTCCAACAACTGCTTCGTACGAATTGACCACATGGCCCTAAAGAATTTTTAAGGAATGCGCTGTACATGGTTAATAACAAAGTCAACTATACACCATTCACATTTTTTTCCCACCCTTTGCGGGAGATCATCATAAATTTTTGCATGCACCTTGAAAATTATCATTGTAATTTTAAACATCCGATCTTTTGATGCGAGCTCTCGAGAAATTGTTGCCTAAAAAAAAAAAAAGCGCGTAATTCCAAACGCGGTAATATGGTTGTAAACTTACAATTCCATTGTATGCATTGCTTTTGTTTACTAACCTCACACCACTTTTACGAAGATCGGTTGCCATATGCGGCAAACCTCCCATTCACTGTGGTCGCATCGACACTCGTACATTGACGAACGTGTGGTTGAAGGGACGAAGGCAGATCTGGTAAAGGACGCAATGATTATTTTATTTGCTGCTATGTACGTGCGTACCGAGAGATGATGATTGGTTTAATGATTAAGGAATCTTGGTGTAATGCGTGCGCGGCAACGTATGCACTCGCGTGTAAATCACTGTCACCGTGATACTTCCGTCCTAATTCGACTGGACCAAACCGAATTGCATAAGAGGATCGAGTACCTTACATAATGCAGACGAATAATCAAAATTATTACATCATTGTTGATTGTTATGATAGTGTGGGTAGCACCGGCTATGCAAACAACAAATTGAATGAGACACGCAATCGTCCATTCATCAAAGATGTGCCGATAAAAGAAATACCAAAAACTTCCCTCTAAAGATGCTCTGCGACGAAAAGGATCGTCGTCACCTTTAAATTTTAAGCTGTTTATTTGTATATAATCTAGACAATAAAATAATTAGCTATTTATCTATTTATTTGTATTTTTTGTTTGATTACTCGGTTTTTTTTTTTTTTAAAAACGATGTCTAAAAATGAATTGATATACATACATTCATATAGAAAATAAATATTGTAAATCAACATTTACAAAACATAAACATCATAATAATAAAAGTATATTATTATTATTATTATTATTTATTATTTACAAAAAAAAAAAAATTCATCCACAGTAATTGTTAATGCAATCGTTTTTATTTCATTTTAATTATTTAATTATTATTAAGGTAATTGATTAAATTAACATCTACGGTATCAGATGTCGGATGCAAGTGTTTTTGAATTAAGGATACTGTAGATTCTTTTATTTCTTTAGTTAAAAATAATTGCTTGTCTAAAATGAATAGCACAAAATTAAAATTTTCATTCATTGTTTTATAAGTAACATTATAGGATTTTTAAGTAAGATATATAATCAAAGAATGATACATAATTTAATAGTTACTTATTATTTTATTATAAATGTTATATATACTGTAGATAATTTAATAATTTTTAAATAAAAAACATTCAAATATAATTTATTTTAAAATGACATTTTAAAATTAATTTTTTTTATTGATATTTTCAAGCAAACATATTAATATTGTATCAATATGTTAGCATAAATTTTGTCAATTCAAAAACTTCAATGATTTTAAGTATTTTCAAAAATAGTATTTAAAAGAATTTCAAAAATGGTATTAAATTTATATTCAAATAAATCATTATTGAAAAAACATTAATCATTTTGAATTTGATTTAAATTTTTGAAATTTATATAATTTATTATATATATTATATACTGTATTTATTAAAAAAAATTTTTTTTTTGATATTAATTATATTATCATTAGTTTAAATATTAATAAAAAAATATTGGTATTAAAATTATTAAAAAAAGATATTAAAAAAATTTTTTTTGGTTTTATATTTAAATATAATAATTTATATTATATTATATTATTTATTTTGCAAAAATAATAACAAAAAGTATTTTTAAAATTGATAATTTTTTAAAAAAAAACCAATAATTTTTATTATTTATAAAAAAATTAAAGTAAAATAAAAAACTTTTTTATTAATTATAATAATAATATTGAATTATGTATTTTTTTTAATAACTCTTAAATTATTAGAATATATAACAAATTGAAAATTATTTCAAAATTAACAAAAATCATTATTTTTAATATTTATTGCTTTTTATTAGCTAGTTATTATAAATACAATTACAAGATAACTAAAAAATGTATATTGTAAGGAAATATTAATACCAAGACTAGAATGTCAAGTTGCTATCAACCTTTCTAATACAAGATGCCAAAGTCAACATATTTATTATTCTTGTTCCTGAAAATTAATCAATTATACAGTATATTAAAATTTTTATCAACAGGAACCTAAAAAGAATGTTGAAAAAGAATAACTGTATTTTGAATCAAACAAAATCATCGTAAGAGGGTGATATTCCATATTGGAGTTGATATATATTTTAATTAATTATTTAGCATCATTGTGAATAAGCGAAGATATGTTTACACCTCTTTCAATTCATTCATATGTAGTATATCTTTCTTTTACCCTCTCTTAATTTCCCTTATTTTAGCTTTGTTTTTTATGGACTAATAGCCAAACTACGCTACACCTGGTATTCGATATCCCAATGATCGCATATGCTTGCTTGACTATTGATTGAAATAAATTAA